TGCTTAATCCACACAGTTCATTCATTATTTTCTTAAAGTTAGCCCCAGCAACTCTCCATGTTTATTTTTTTTTTCTTTTTACTATTTTAATTTTTTTCTATTTAGGAAAGAAAGGACTGTATTTCTCAACTCACCCAGGGTTTTAGGCGATCCCTAAAAAGAAATTCAAAAAAATTTTTACAGTCTTAGGAAGATCACAATATCATGTAAAAAGAGACTCGTGGAAAACCAGATTCTGATATAGAAAGCCTGTGGGTGTACCCCTAGGAAAAAAAAGTATTTCAAAATATTAATTGTGGGCAAGATGGTTAACAGTGGTTATCTCTGGGTGGTGTAACTATTTTTAAAATACTTTCCTATCAGAAAATAGAAAGGTAGAAAGTAGAAAGGTGGTTGCCAAGGGCTGTGGGGAGGGGAGAGGGAGAATTAGTGTTTAACGGGTATAGAGTTTCAGATTTGCAAAATGAACAAGTTCTGGAGATCTGCTGTGCAACAAAGTGAATATACTTAACACTGCCGAACTATACACTTAAAAATGATGAAGATGGCAAATTTAACGTTATGTGTTTTTTTACCACACACATAGAAACACTTTTCTATGGCAAACACAATAGTGTTATACTCAAGAACAAACTCAATGCAAGTTTAATTTTTAAGTGAAAGCCTTAATGGCTGGTTGGTGTAGCTTTTAGTGAGTATTTCCACGGTTTACTGGACCCTGACTGTCCAGTGAAGGTTACCTGGTGGCAGTTAGGCTCCGTAAGCAGAGTTGGGCCTTCTCTTTTGTTTTCCCCCCTCAGCTTTCTATTGAGAGAAAACATGAGCTACAGAAGAAGGGTGTGACCAAAACTTGTTTGTTTTGTCTGTTTTCCCGTCTGATCTGGGTTCGCTTGTCAGCTACTGAATGAGGGCGTGCCATGGGGATGACCTTCTGATACAGCAGCACCTGTCCCCTTCACACCCCCTCGGCCCTGCTGGTTCTGCGTCAGCTGCACTATTTGCAGGACCATCTGCCCAAACCCCGTGCTACTCACTGTTCTTTGATCTGTAAACCGGAGTCTGAGCCAGCTGGGTTGAAACAGAGGAGGCTGGGCCAGTGATCTCAGTGCGGCTGTTTTGTTGCCTTGCAGCGGCTTCCTCTGTCCAGGTCTCACCTAAGAAAAAGTTGAGCCCCTGGGCAAGACAGGTGAGGGATGTGAACAGGTAATTCACAATATGAGAAGAGCTAATATTAAATCATGAAAAATGACTGCCCTCACTAGAATATAAAGGAACAGAAATAACGGCAACCTTTAATATCCTTTTTTCCTATCAATCAATTTGGCAAAGATTTTTGTGGAAAATAATTCCCAAGGTTTGCAAACAATTACTGATAGGAAGGTTATTGGCCATTCAGAAAGGAAGCTGCCAATGCATATCAAGAACTGTAAAATTTTTCATTCTAGAATATAGTATTCCATAAAGGGTTAGGAAGGTAGAAGAATTTAGTACAAGATAAAGGTGACATTTCAAATTAACGAGGAGAGACTTTCATTTTTGGTGATATTGAGGTCAGGAGGACCTGGAAGATCTCCAGTTATAAAAATATCTAAAAATGGTGGGTTAAATATAACAAAGTACCTAACTGAGCTCCAAAGATAAAAATGGAATGCCCCAGGGGCCAAGCAATGAGAAGGACTGAAAACCAGAGATACAGATGAGCTGACACTGCTGCCGCCCCAGGGGGGATTATCAATCTGCATAATCTAAGGCTCCCGGTTTATAATGTCGAGGTGGGAACAGCACACCAAGCCTATTGTCTGTGTGTGGGGGAGGGCGAGTTGAACCTGAGTCTCCAGTATAGCTGGGATCTTTGAAAGTCTAAACCTTGAGTGGCAATAGCTTCTAACATTGAGACAATCGCATCCTTGCCTGACTTAATTCTTGCAAAGGCCAATATCAAGAGGAGGTCTTAATCTCTGAGATTCTTTCCATCTGGAGAACCACTGCTGTAACACTCAGTTGATTCCCTGTGTCACCTCTCAAGCAGGATATGTTGTTCTGACAGCTGGTCTGAACTCCAAGAGGTTGTCAAAATAAGACACATCTATGTTGTCTCTTTTCCCTATAGTCTATTATTTGATCAATTGGCAGGTCTATCAGTGTTTGAAATGTGATTCTTCCTCTAGGAAATTATCCCACAAATTACAGGATACTCATAAAAATTCCCAATCATAAATAATGTGTGTTCAATATGATTTATTTGTAATAGAAAGAAAAATTGGAAGCTGCCACATAGCCAACAACAGTGGAATGGTTAACTGAACACTATGTAGCCATTAAAAGGAATTAAGTTGATCTCTATGTATGAAAATGGAAAGAATGGCCACACAACATATAATTAAGACTTTTTAAAAAGCAAGCTATATAATCATTAGAGAAATGCAAATCAAAACTACAATGAGGTATCACCTCACACAATGAGGAACCTCTCTATGATGGAATGTTTTTCATAACATGGGAAAATATTCATGATATAATTAAAAAATTCACAATGCAAACACTGTCCATAACATGGCCCAGCAGCTCTATGCCAAGGTACATACCCAAGAGAATTGAAAACATATGTTCACACAAAAACCTGTATACAAATGTTAATAGCAGCATTATTCATAATAGCCAAAAAATGGAAACAACCCAAATGGCCAGCAGCTGGTGAATGGATGAACAAATGAAGTATATCCACAGAATGGACTATTTTCCAGCCATGAAAAGGAATGAAGTACTGATACACATTACAACATGGATAAACTTTGAAAAATATTTGCCAAGTGAAAGAAGTCAGACACAAAAGATAACATATTGGGGCTTCCCTGGTGGCGCAGTGGTTGAGAGTCCGCCTGCCAATGCAGGGGACACGGGTTCGTGCCCTGGTCCGGGAAGATCCCACATGCCGCGGAACGGCTGGGCCCGTGAGCCATGGCCGCTGAGCCTGCGCGTCCGGAGCCTGTGCTCCGCAACGGGAGAGGCCACAGAAGTGAGAGGCCACAGAAGTGAGAGGCCCGCGTACCACTGAAAATAAAAAGATAACATATTGTATGATTCCATTTGTATGAAACGTCAGGAATAGGCAAATCCATGGAGACAGAAAGTAGATTAATGGTTGTGGGAGACTGGCAGGAGGGAAGTGGGGAGGGGCTAGTTCATGGGTACGGAGTTTCTCTCTGGAGCAATGAAAATGTCTTGGAATGAGATGGTGGTGATGGTAGCACAATGTTGTGAATGAACTAAAAAAATCACTGAATCAAAAAAAAAAAAAAATCACTGAATCTTACACTTTGAAATGGTGAACTTTATGTTTTATACATTTTATCTCAATTTAAAAAATATGTATATAGAACAAGATCCAAACTTTGTGGGGGAAAAGTAAGACTAATGGATTAAGAGTGGTGGTGGATTATAAATGCTTTTAATTTTTTCTGATTTTCTCCAGCACATACATGTTATATTTTAAATGGCGGCGGTGGTGGAATAAAAGCATTTAGGAAAGAGTGGTCTTCTCTCTTGACAAAATCTATGTGCTTTGGAAATAACACCGGGTTCTCACTTGGCAACTTAACCAAGGGCAGTCCGTCCAGCCTGTGAAGTATACTTCTTTCTGTACAGTGTTTCACTGCATTTAGTAAAACAAGCCATTCACCTTTTGCTATAGGGTGCCAAAGAGCAGAGCTGACTTAAGCCTTTCCTTTTCTGTCTTTTTAGATGTTGTAGACATAGCTTTTTGAAGCAGAGCAGTCTGGATTAGCTAGCTCAGGGCTCAGAGCTTCAGAACCTAAATTCTCTTTGACCTGACTGGCTTCCTGCCCTTACCTGGTGCTTCTGCTTCTCCACTGGTGAGATGAAGTGGTAAATGCTCACTTCACTGGAGTGGGGAAGAGAATGCATTAGGTAAGTCTTTCAAAGCACTAAGAGATAGAAGGACCAGAGAAATAAAAGGTTATTCAACCCCACTGGAGACTCAAATCACCGATAAGCAGCTGGAGAAGATGGAGCTTATGTAACAACTCTTTGTCTCTCAATAAATAAACAGATAGGATCTGAGTCATGGGGTCACTGAGGCTCCTCTTAACCCTTGGGTGGGTGGTACTTTTCATAGGCTCACAGGAATGCTGAGATCTCTGCTGTGCTTGCTTAGCAAAGTTTTTTATTTAGATCTCGCCTGACATCTTATTTTTCCAGTAGCTCCACAACAGGAAAATGAAGGAGAATTCACAATTGCACAGGTTTTGGTTGCCTTGGAGACCATGTACTTTTAAGATATTTATGGAGGGAGCCTTAGTTTACTCTAACTGTGCAGTATGTTCCAGCTGGAGTAGAACTTTGTGAACTGACAAGGAAAGGAGTCCAAGATGTAGGAAGTAAGTAAGTATGCTGCCCAACAAGTTGTAGTGCATGATCTCAGCTGTGTTTTAAAAATACATAAAATTCTGTAACTATGTATCTGTCATCTAATCTATCATCTATCTATCTATCTATCATCTGTAGATCAATTGATCTACTATCATCTATCCATCTTGGTGAATGGATAGAAATGGCCAAATCATTACCACCGCTTGGCCCTGGGAGTGAGAATGGAACATACAGATAGCAAGACTCTCACTTTTTACTCTATACGTTTCTGTACTATTGAAATTTTAATAGGTTGTTTTGTAACAAAAAAGTTTTAACAAAAGTTACCAACTGTAATCCTAACTACCTCTCTGACAGTCCTTTCAAACATCTCACAACGTACGCGGAAAGAGTTAACACAGAGCCAGTTCAAATTCCTGATTTGGTGGTGGAGGTGGAGGCAGGGTTAGAGGTAAAAAGAAGCAAAAAGTGGGGAGGGGAGGGAAGAGGAGGGCTGGCTGCTCAGTTCTCACCTGAACCAATAGCATGAAAGTTTCAGGCCCAACGCCCATTTGTGGGACTATTTCAGGAGTCAGAGGTTGCATCTGAATTCACTGTCACTGTAACTGGCCAAAGAACTAAGACGACTTCCTGGTTTGGCTACTTGGAAGCTGCTTCTCCTTTACCCAGAAGGTAAAATCTCAAGGCTCAGCTAATCTGGTGACGGTGATTTGGAGTGTGCCCTTTTTTCTTTGTGGTGTATTGACTTCTTTATCCACAGGACAGTAGGATGCTTATGGAATAGGGCTTTATTTTTACTAATGACGATATTAACACTAAATTTCTAACAAGGTGGAATGGTTCTCCCTGGTTCTTCTTTGCACAGGACAAGACACAGTCTGTTGAAGTGTTAGGGAGGAACACTTGTATGGAAAGGAAGGAACACATATGCTTTCATTGTTTAACAGTTCTCATGTCATTTTTCCTTGGTCTCACTGAGAGCGTGGTTACATTTTCATGGGGATTACAGTTGCACACAGCGAATCTCATAGTAGGTAAGTATTCGATGGAACACTCTTAGCTAATATTGTAGAATGGGCTCTTGCTTATTTTCCATCTCAGGGAAAAGTCTTAAAACTCCCCACATTCATAACAAAGCTACTTTACATAGAAAGGAGTTTGGAAAGAGATGTCTGGTGAAATCACCCCAAAGTTTTGGTCCAACTGTAGCCCCCCCAGGATGATGTCTGTTCTTAGTGTCACAGCGACCCCTTTTTTTCCCCATAGTCTTTGTTAGTGATGGACCCATACATGATTCAGTTGCACGACCATGGCAACCTCCCCTCAGTGCTGGATGTGCATGTCAACATCCCTGGGAGAAGCTCTGTGCCGGGAAAAATGAAAGGCAGGAAGGCCAGATGGTCCGTGAAGCCCTCGGACATGTCCAACAAAACTTTCAATCCCATCCGGGCCATTGTGGACAGCATGAAGGTGAAGCCAAATCCAAACAAGACCATGATTGCTCTGTCAATTGGTGAGTTCGAGACACTTGACCGAGAGGCAGGCATTGTTCCTCCCACCCCCATTCTCATGGGTTGGTTGGAAAGGATGGAAGTGGAGGGTGGGTCTGAGCACTGGGCATGGAAGAGTAACCTCTTGGCGGTTCTTTTTTTTTTTCCCATGAAAAGGGGACCCTACTGTGTTTGGAAACCTGCCTACAGATCCTGAAGTTACCCAAGCAATAAAAGATGCCCTTGACTCGGGGAAGTATAACGGCTATGCTCCCTCCACTGGTAAATTCCTCCTGAGACTCTAATCTGGTGGCTTCCAAGTCTTTAGTGCTCTTCTAATAGGAATACATTTCTAGCATTCTTCTTTGCTTTCCCGATGCATAATTCCTAAGGAGAAGCTAAGATAAAATGGCTGTTGGATTTGGGGAAAGGGGTCTCAGGCTACTTAACCTCAAGCCATCAAGGTCTAACTTCTTTCCTGGCTTCCTCTGGCATTACGGCACCTCCCTGCTCTAGGTTCCCATTACATACTTATTTCTCAAATAACACTCCTATTCTATCATCGCTAATTCTAAACGGAGGCCTTGAGTGTGGCTGCACCTGCTTCTTTACAAAGCCCTCTAGCTCCTAAATTAATTTAATTACTGCCCTGTGTAAATAGCTTCTTGGCTTTATTTCTCCTTCTCTACACATTCAAGGTTTAATTTAATTATGGTCCTAATCACACTCTCAATGTAATTGTGCTTGTTTCAAGGCAAAAACAAAAAACAAAACCAATAAAACCAAGAACAGCAAAGGATGAGCTGACCTACTGGAGGATAGAAGGTTTGTTTAGGACAGAAAGAAATTATTCTTAGGTTTAGGTTTAACTCTCTCCATCTATTAAACATTTCTACCCTAAACATTTTGGTAAAATAAGTGATTCCTTGACTTTGTTTCAGTGTCGCACATTTCCCTGCTGTGTATATGTGCGCATAGAAACATATTCTTTTTTTTTTTTTTTTTTTTTTTTTTGCGGTACGCGGGCCTCTCACTGTTGTGGCCTCTCCCGTTGCGGAGCACAGGCTCCGGACGCGCAGGCTCAGTGGCCATGGCTCACGGGCCCAGCCGCTCCGCGGCATGTGGGATCTTCCCGGACTGGGGCACGAACCCGTGTCCCCTGCATCGGCAGGCGGACTCTCAACCACTGCGCCACCAGGGAAGCCCCCTAGAAACATATTCTTAATGCAGAATAAAACTCCAGTTTCATGCTAAACTAGAATTGTAAAAACACTTTAAAGAGATATCAGGGATGTGATTTTTAGGTTGATTATTTACATTTTATGAAGTTTCATAAATAAAAATCAAAACAAAATAAGACCAAAAGTTAAGTTGTAAAAAAAGTTTATACATAATGGAAAAGAATATGAAAAAGGATGTATATATGTATAACTTAAATCACTTTGCTGTACAGCAGAAATTAACATAACATTGTAAATCAACTATACTTCAATAAAAGTTTTTAAAAGTTTATAATGACTTTTATATCCAAAGTATTAGGAAACTGACTTAACCTGAAAACCCAAAACCAAGTCTCCATTTGACAAAATGCAAAGGATATGAACACTTCATGCCAAAGGAAACACAGATAATAATATATATCTAGAAAATACTCTTCTTTATTAGTAATTAAGGAAGTGCTAATTTGTATAATGTCAAGAGACCTATCTCTACCTATTAATTTAACAAACATTAGGAAATACTGCCTCTAGTCTTGGTAACTGAAGACAATCTTTCTGGAGAGCAATTTTGTAAAACATAATAATTTGTATGAAACTGTCTATACTTCAAGCTTGTAAACCAACATTTGGAACTATTATATGAGAATATAATTTAAAAGAAAAAAATTTGAATTTCAATATAATTTTTAAAATTTATTTTAATTTATATTATTTATTTTTGGCTGTGTTGGGTCTTCCTTGCTGCTCACGGGCTTTCTCCAGTTGCGGCGAGCGGGGGCCACTCCTCACCGCGGTGGCCCCCCTGCCCCCGCTGTGGAGCATGGGCTCCAGGCACAGGGCCTCACAAGTTGTGGCACATGGGCTCAGCAGCTGTGGCTTGCAAGCCCCAGAGTACAGGCTCAGCAGTTGTGGCGCATGGGTCGGTTGCTCTGTGGCACGTGGGATCCTCACAGACCAGGGCTTGAACCCATGTCCCCTGCACTGGCAGGCGGACTCTCAACCACTCCGCCACCAGGGAAGTCCATCAATATAAGTTAAAAGGAAAAATACTAATAGGTATACAGTACAATGTGAAAAAGTTAAAATGGACCCAAGGTAATGAATTCACTAATTACAAGTTTTCAAAAAATATAATACCTGGGGCTTCCCTGGTGGCGCAGTGGTTGAGAGTCCGCCTTTCGATGCAGGGGACACAGGTTCGGGCCCCGGTCCGGGAAGATCCCACATGCCGCGGAGCGGCTGGGCCCGTGGGCCATGGCCACTGAGCCTGCGCGTCTGGAGCCTGTGCTCCGCAACAAGAGAAGCCACAACAGTGAGAGGCCCGCGTACCGCAAAAAAAAAAAAAAGAAATATATATATATATATATATATATAAAAAATACCTGGAAGGGATTTAGGAATAATCTAAATCCTAACTAATCTAATCCTATTTTAGATTATTTAATCTAAATTTTAGATTAAATAATCTAAAATAAAATAAAACATATCACAGTAACCAAGATGCTGCAGAGTATTTTATAGTTTGGGGAACTCTTTGTTATTATTTATATATTTGTGCTCATTATAAAATTGTAAGATATAAAGTTAATCTCCTTTATCTATAGTGACAGAGAGCTAAACTAAATTGTATGTGCTCTGAGCTGGGGCAGAAGGTAGCCTCCAAGCCCTGTTGACTTGAGGGCAAACTGTCAGTTGTGGAATGAAAACTTCCAGCTTCCTCATTCTGCTCTTTTCTCTCAGGCTACTTATCGAGTCGGGAGGAGGTTGCTTCTTATTACCACTGTCCCGAGGCACCCCTGGAAGCTAAGGTGAGCCCTAGACAAGGAACCAGCTTGGGAACAGTATTGGGCAAACTCTACCCTTTTCCTTGTTTCTGTTCCATGAGGAATAAGGGTTTCAAGTGGAACAAAAACTAAGGATAATTTCCCTTTGGCAATTCGAGGACTTTTCATACGGGGAGGCCACTAATCAGCGATTATATTTAATGTCATTATAGTATGATAATAACGTTGCATATAACTCGTATAGTGTCTGTCTCAAGGAGGCTTAAAGGACTCAGAGGTCACCGTGTATTTTGCTTCTCTGCAAAAGATCATTGAAAAACAATAATTCATAAACATCAAATAATTGAAATTTTTAATTTTACCAATAGGTCTTTTATGAATCTGTAGCTTCCTTCACTGCCCTTAAGGTCACTTAGATGGGAAGATAGAGCTTCCACGGCATACTGGATTGATGGCAGGGCCAAGTTTAAATGCTACCCTCTGCTCTGTTGTCCACTGGGTGGGTGTCAATATTTCTTAACATTAAGAGGTGCCCTATATCTGTCTTTCAGAAGAGAGTCAGGTTTCAAATCTCTGGTCAAAAGTAAATAAATAACCAGGTGAAAAAGTCCAAGGTCATAATGATCTCTCGTGGAGGTCTGCTGAGTCACAACCAACCCGTCCTTTTTTAAGTGATTTATTTCTCTTAAGTGGCCAACATTTTCAACAACTTTTAGATATGCACATACGTAAACATATTCACTTCTTTCCATTTTGGCTTTGTACAGTCCCCACTACTTTACATAGAGTTTGTAAAAATAAGGGTTTTTTTGCTTCGCACTCATTCATCTGATAACCTTTCTCCTGTTGCTGTTGGAACCCCTAACAAAATGAAACTTTTCTGTTCTTTACAGGATGTCATTCTAACAAGTGGCTGCAGTCAGGCTATTGAACTTTGTTTAGCTGTGCTGGCCAACCCAGGGCAAAACATCCTAGTTCCCAGACCTGGCTTCTCTCTCTACAGGACTCTGGCGGAATCTATGGGAATCGAGGTCAAACCCTACAATTTATTGGTAAATGACTTTTAAATTTTAGACACAAGAGCTCAATTACTACTTCATAAAAATATATGACCATTATCTTAGCAGAGAAAGATCTGGAAGTGGGTGGTCGAGGCCACAGACACATTTTGTTATTTACATTATATCTTTGAGTGAAGTGAGTAGTCCTACATTTTTCAGAATCATCTTAGTCTCCCCGTTTTTTCCTCCCCAGCCAGAGAAGTTTTGGGAAATTGACCTGAAACAACTGGAATCTCTGATTGATGAAAAGACAGCTTGTCTCGTTGTCAATAATCCATCAAACCCTTGTGGGTCAGTGTTCAGTAGAAGTCATCTCCAGAAAATTTTGGCAGGTGAGTCCAGCAGACTTCACTTGACAGGGGAGAAGATGGGGATGGAATCCTTCAGGTGTTTCATGGAACGAGAAAGGAGTCCTTCACTAAGTTCCAAGCCTGGGATGGAGGTGGGAGGGCTCCACTGGGGTCTCTAGTGAGTGGTGTGCCCCTGGAAAGGTAGGAATTTCCTGAAAGAAGGAGAAAAAGAGGAAATACTTGCCTCTTCACCACTCCCATCATGTGGAAGAGAGGGTTTGAAATATCTAGTTAATTAAAGAGCAAATTTAGGCTCTGTACCCTGGAAGAGTATAAGAAGAGTTTATAGTTCTTAAAGAGGAAGATGAAACATACAAACATGAAATGCAAAGTATAATAAGCCCAGGTAAATATTAAATGCTAAGGCAATTCACATTAAAAATGATTTCAGCATGTTTCTCTTATTTTCAGTGGCTGCAAGGCAGTGTGTCCCCATCTTAGCTGATGAGATCTATGGAGACATGGTGAGTCTCGGGTAGGATGCATCACTGCCATATTCTCAATCCCAAATTATCTCATGGCACCTTTAGATGTGGCACCTAGAATAATCAGAAGCAAATCCTAATCATTTCAGTACAGCACTAATCAGTAGTATCCCTGCGCTCTAAACAGATATACAGATAACCAGCCCTTAGCCAGTTTTCCAAGATCCAAAAAGCTATACAAATCTGAAGATTTTTGGAATTCATTTGGTGGCAAAACCTGACTTGGCCTGATATAAAGCTATTTGTAAATCTTTGTGTATCTCACTTATGGATCTGTATAAGAGTGTAAGGAAAGGGGTGGAACAGTTACTGTGTTTGATTAGGAGTGCTGTCCCCGATTGCCCTGCGACTGTTATATAATATATGGTACGTGTGCTATATAACCTTTCTAAAATCCAAACAGTTCTACATTTTGCAACACACTTGAGCCCAGGAATTTCACATAAGGGATTATGGACCCATACCTTATTGTGAAATCTGTAACTCCAACGGTCATTCATTCCCTAGAGCCAAGGGTTATACCTATTACTGGGCTGGGGTCAGTTTCCTCATTTTAGGCTTCCTTTAATCTAGACTAGATACTGGGTTAAATGTATTTGGGTGTCCCCTCTGAAGCCTCTTGAGATCCCAATCATGCTTCAGGGTAGGAATGAGCCCGTAAATCTGAGACCCTGTCCCTAGTGATATAAGGAAAATTTTGCAAGGCATGGGATTCAGAGGAAAATAAACCAGAAGACAACGGTAACAAGCACCTCTTCTCCTCAGGTGTTTTCAGATTCCAAATTTGAACCTCTAGCCACCCTCAGCAGCAACGTCCCCATCCTGTCCTGTGGAGGGCTGGCCAAGCGCTGGCTGGTTCCCGGCTGGAGGATGGGCTGGATTCTCATCCATGACCGAAGAGATATTTTTGGCAATGAGGTGAGAGCAATGTGGTGAAATCGTATGTCTAATTTAGGGGTGATTATAGACATATATTTTTCTAAATATTTATTTATTTACTTTGCATGCACAGTGGTAAGGAGTTTTTTTCTTTCTTTTTGGCCCTGTAGTTCCGTATGCCTGGAAAGACACTGGATAAAGACAGTACTAGTTATTCCTCTCCAAAACTCAGTTTTTCTGTCTTGGTGAGGAAGTTCCATCCACCTCTAATTTTAGTACCACAAAAAAGGAAACAATAGCAGTAATGATACCTAATATTGTTTGTGGGATTACAATGTGCCAGAGCTTTATGTACTTTATTTCAATTTAATTCTCCTAACAACCCTGTGAGGCCAGTATTAGTATTACCTCCATTTCACAGGTAAGAAATATGAGACACAGAGAGGTTGTATTATTTGCCCAGAGTCACACAGCCAGTGCACGGCAGAGCTGGGCTACAAACCTAGGTGGTCTGATCTAAGAATGACACTAGGCACCATCACTTCTCCAGAGATTAAAAACTTGATAGAATTGGCAGAACAAGGATCTCCACAGTGGGGATGCCTAAGAAAGGCTAAATAATGTGTTCGCTGGGGGGCTTTTTAGATCCGAGATGGGCTGGTGAAGCTGAGTCAGCGGATCCTGGGACCCTGCACCCTTGTCCAGGGAGCTCTGAAAAGCATCCTGCATCGCACCCCTCAAGAATTCTACCACAACACTCTAAGCTTCCTCAAGGTAAGGGCAGCCCATGACTTTCCACTTTGGGAGTCAAGGAATGCCACCAGTGGAATTTGAAATAATGGGTCCTCATTTCTGGAGCAATGCTCCATTATGGGGCTTCCAAGCCAGGAGGTGGCATCAGTGTAAATATCTACCCATACATTTCTCTAACTTCTGGCAATCCACCCTGCTCCTGGCCAAAAGCTTCAAGTGGCAGAGTTTTTATCTTGTTACCCCTTATGCCAGGAGGGCAAACTTAGGTTCCCTGCCTTTGATGTGGGCTCTCCTTTTAATGACTTGGTTTTTCTTTTGCTTAACTTTTCATTCTTGATGTCTCTGTCTCCTCTCGTAGTCCAATGCGGATCTCTGCTATGGGGCATTGGCTGCCATCCCTGGACTCCGGCCCATCCGCCCTTCTGGGGCCATGTACCTCATGGTGAGTATGTGGGTGGCAGGCAGTTGGTGGTGGTGGGGGAAGCCAGTCTGCAGGGCTCACGAAGACAACCACATGGGCTCCTGAGGCAGTCAGTTTAGGAACTGCCTTGTTCTGAATTGTCCCATCGGTGTGGTTTAACCTCAGTGCTAAAAAAAAGAAAAAAGAAGAAAAAGAAAAAAACTCTTAAAATGACTTAATTCTTCATACTGAGACTCATTTTATATGTAGATACAGGGATGACATAAGACACAAATAAGAGGCTTTCCACACTACTGTAATTCTCACCTAGGAGAGATCTGGTTCCCTAGGAATGTTTGGGGATATATAGGAATTTTGTTTGTTTTCAGAAAGACTGTGTGGGGTGCTATTGTCATTTTGTGGGCCAGGGATGCTAAATATTTTTCAATGGGCAGGGTAGTTCCATGCAATCAAGAATAGCCTGGCCCATAATGATTATAGTGCCTTTAAAAAAATAATTAATTAATTAATGTAATTTTGGCTGCGTTGGGTCTTCGTTGCTACGTGCGGGCTTTTTCTCCAGTTGCGGTGGGCGGGGCTCCTCTTCCTTGTGGTGCGCGGGCTTCTCATTGCAGGGGCTTCTCTTGTTGCGGAGCACGGGCTCCAGGCGTGCGGGCTTCAGTAGTTGTGGCTCTCAGGGTCTAGAGCACAGGCTCAGTAGTTGTGGTACACGGGCTTAATTGCTCCGTGGCATGTAGGATCTTCCCGGACTAGGGCTCGAACCCATGTCCCCTGCTTTGGCAGGTTGATTCTTAACCACTGCGCCACCAGGGAAGTCCCAATAGTGCCTTTTTTGAGAAACACTGGCATCCTATTTCCAGCTTTCATTTATCAGCATCCAAGAAGGAACCCTTCAGTAAACTAAAACATTAATATAAATACATCCTCTCTTCCCTATGAAAAATTCTGTGAGTTCATAAGAGCAAGAACTCTTAGTTATCAGTAGTGGAGTTCCAAGATGTTTTTTAGAGCAGTCCCTACCTTAACTTGTGGCATAGGGAGTTGGCCTGTTTTCCCTCCTGATAAATTTGCATCTCCCTGTTATTGGTATAGGTTGGAATTGAGATGGAACATTTCCCAGAATTTGAGAATGATGTGGAATTCACTGAGCAGTTAGTTGCTGAGCAATCCGTCCACTGCCTCCCGGCAACAGTGAGTGCTTACGTCTCTCAGGACACTCTCAACGGTTTCTAGAGTCTCAGGAACTCTCCCTGAGCTGGTCTTTAGCCTGACTTTCTCTCCCCCAACAAAGCATACTGTCGGCCTTCATATACTCAGGTTCCTCATCCACGGATTCAACCAACTGTGGATGGAAAAATATGAGGGGAAAAAAAAATCCCAGAAAGTTCCAAAACTTGAATTTGCTGCAGACTGGCAACTATTTGCATAGCATTTACATTGTATTAGGTATTATAAGTAACCTAGAGATGATTTAAAGTACACAGGAAGATGTATGTAGGTTATGCAAATACTATGGCATTTTATATATGCGACTTGAGCATCCTCGGATTTTGGCACTCTCAAAGGTTCTGGAACCAACCCTCCATGGATACCGAGGGACTACTGTATTCTCTTCCGAAAAGATTCAAACTGATGGGTCTCACGACCTCTATTTAAAATTTGTTTCTCCCCCATCCAGGAAGAAAAATTGTGGTTGAATATTCTAGGTGAGAGGAAATCAAGCTTGTCCCACAAATTCCTTTTAAGATAAATTAACTCAGCTACTGGCTTAGCAGTCCAGTGGTGGGAATTGAGTGAAATGATAGCCTTGGGTAAATGGCATCACTGCTTTGCGCTGATTAGGGCCCTGGCCATATTAGGGTGGTCCAGTCCCTGATTCAATTGCTCTGAGAATAACAGGCTTTTGTTTTTGCAGTGCTTCGAGTACCCAAATTTCTTCCGAGTGGTAATCACAATCCCCGAAGTGATGATGCTGGAGGCCTGTAGCCGGATCCAGGAGTTCTGTGACCAGCACTACCATTGTGCTGAAGGGAGCCCGGAGGAATGTGACAAATAGGACGCAGTCCATTCTCCTGAGTGTGTGTCCCATCGGGCTGGGGAGAGCGGGACTGAGCCCTGCTGCTCCTCAGGTGCCCCTGCTGGGAGAGGGGCCTCACAAATACCACGACAAGGGCTCAGAATTGCTCCAGCTTTCCCCCAGCTGTATCCACACACACACTCTGAACCCCAGATTTCATCGCACTCTGCTCTGCTGGAGTGACTCATTAATTCATTAATCCACCCCTATGACTTCCATCAATCCATCCTCCCATATGACTTCCTCCTTTTAGCTTGAGAGTACCAGGTGAACAAAGTCACCCAGGAAACGGTAGAGACAGGAAAATTAAGAACTCAGGATTAGAGAATCAAAAGATTGAGGGGAAGTTGTGCCCCCAACCATTTCCTCTTACTCTAAGTAAGAACACATTCTCTTCAGTCAGGTCTGAAGCCCAACTCTGTTACTGGCTCACTTCAGGTATACATCACTGTATGCAATAATGCTATAATGAAAGAAGTTGGGGACACATGTATTTGGTTACTTCTAAACACATTAGGAAAGCTTGCCAATTTGAAGGATCTCTTACAGAAACTTTTCGCTGATTTTTTTTTTTTGTAGAGAATTATTTTGTGATACAAAGAAATTTAATTGATAGAGTTTCTAAATGTAGATATATGTGTATCAGGCTTTCTTAAAATGGCAGCGCATCTGTACTAAAAAAAGGAGGAATCAGAGGACCTTCCAGGAACGCTGCTGTGTAAGGGCCAGAATTTTCTTCACTCGTCACTGTTATAGAATCATTATTACTTTTGCTGTAACGTTGATATTGATTTATTGATATATATGTATATTATCTTTTCATATGTTTTCTAAGAAACATTTATATTGAAAAGATCTTTTATTTTGCCAAGGGCATAAATTATTGTTTTCCTTTTTCTTTTTTTTTTTAATAAATTTTACTAAGTATTCTCTTCTGTGATGTCATTTTTCTCCTCTGTGGGGAATTTCTATCCCCAGGTGCTACTTATTGCGCAGTCTGATTGATTTATTACCCACTAGGTTTCATTTATTTCTTTGTAGATGTACTGACATTTGGAGTCACTTAAGAAACACTATTCCTAAAATATTTTATTTGGGAGCTCAACTTCTTGCTTGTACTTACAAACAAGACAAACTAAGAAGCAACATTATAAACACCTGGCCTCTGACTTCACACTTTCAACTTTTGGGATCCCCACTCTCCAATTGCCTACACTTGTCTAGATCTACTAACCACTCACTGGGTAACAAGTTGAACTGGTTCAGCTAATCAAGAGAATGAGGTGTGTCCGGTGTGCTCATCTTTCAGTATGAGCTTTTTGTCTGCAAATCCTCTTAAGCACGGTTGCCTAATTTTTTCCTAACCATTTCCCTTGGAGGAGGGAGCCTGAAGTTATTTTGCAAGGTTAGGGGCAGGAATATACCATAATCAATCTGAGAATTCTTCACTAAGGGATGTTTTCCTTATCTAGAATAGGAACTTCAAGTCTCAACTCTGCCAACCACACCCAATTAATTTCCTTTACAAAAATAAACATCAAACATCCCCTTCCCATCTATGTCGGACTTCGGTGAACTAAAATTTACCCTTCAATTTTTTTCAGCAAAACCAAGAGGAATATACAATGATTGAGATGAAAAACATTTGTTTCCTGTATGCCACTCCTGCCGATTTTTCGAAAATTCCTGGCTCCTCTTTTCCTGTACCTCTGGCCCCAACTCCCAAGGATATCTGTCCAGAGATAAACAGGAAGACTTAGTGGTTTACACAAAACGTTTTATCTTCACACGTATGTATAATTCTATCCAGCATTACTGAATCTAGACAGGCTTCTTAAATTTCCAAATTTCCTTGATATCTACCATTTTGGTAAGGGAGTCAAATGAAAATTCAAAGATTTAAAAAACAAAACGGGACTTCCCTGGTGGCGCAGTGGTTAAGAATCCACCTGCCAATTCAGGGAACATGGGTTCCAGCCCTGGTCCAGGAAGATCCCTCATGCCGCAGAGCAACTAAGCCCATGCACCACAACTACTGAGCCTGTGATCTAGGGGCCATGCCCTAGAGCCCATGAGCCACAACTACTGAAGTCCACCCGCCTAGAGCCCGTGCTCCGCAACAAGAGAAGCCACAGCATGAGAAGCACGTGCACCACAGTGAAGGGTAGCCCCTGCTCACCACAACTGGAGAAAGCCCCTGTGGCAACAAAGACCCAATGCAGCCAAAAATATATAAATAAATAATTTTAAAAAATAAAATAAAATAAACAAAACAAAAATACATGCACATTGGACATATTTCAAACGATGCAAAAAAATAAAAAAACCCACTCATGCCAGTCCTTCAGCACCTTTTCTTCTCCCCTGAGGTAATCACAGTAGCAGTTGCTGATCCATTCTTTGACATTATTCTGTGTACACATAAATGTTTTTGCGTGTGAATTTTTCTTTTTTTTTTTTTTTTCCTTTCTTCAAAGTAACTGTTACTCAACTTTTTAATTCAGCTTCTGTGGAAGTCTAAGGAGGGATGACATTTCTGTCCATCATGTCCTGGGTGATTCTGAATAAAAAAGGGACCCCCTGGTCGGGGCTGCTTCCAAACAAGATTAAAATTCCCAAGAGACAATTCCCAGCTGCTTCGCGGATGGCGGCAGTAGGATGGTGGCTTCCGAGCGTCCCAGGATAAAACAAAGGATGCTTTAAAAGGTCGGAGACAAGGGCTCGCAGCTGTGAATTCACCTTTCTGTCTAACCTACGGGATAACTGGCGAGTTACCACTGACCCGGTACCACACACCGTCCCACTCTAGTCCCTAGCAGTCACCAACGACGCAACCCTGCTCTGGGTGACCGTGTTGGAAGAGGAGGGGGTCGGGGGATGGAGCGGTGGAGGAGTTGGGGTGGGGTGGAGCGGGGGAAAGAACCCACGGCTGCGCAGGCACAAATGCTAATGAGGGGCGGCGCACTACTCAGGGCGCATGCGCAGTCACGGGACTAGGAGACGCAGCAGACCGTGAGGCGCCGGCGAGGTCGCGTATCTCTAGTGGGAGCGACTACCTTTTCTCCGGATGTTCGGTTTTGTTTCCTCCTTCAGCCTATTTCTCGGACCCGCGCCTTTTTGAGAGATTCCCTTCCTCCTTTGCCCCCTTTTCGGGTCACATCAGGCGGGAGGCTTCCAGAAAGTCGACAAGTCATCTTTAGGTATTGTAAACACCTGTTAACCTTTTCCTAGCTGTGGGCGGGTGCCAGTAAGTCCCATAAGTTGTGAAACAGAAGCAGAAGTTCCCAGGAGCTGTTGTCAGTTTTCAAAAGTATCCCTGGAAATTTTCTTAGAAGAATCGTATCCTTCACGGTCCCGAGTGCATGGCATATATGTTTGGATTTCTGCCGAGCCAGAAAGGTGACTCCTCTGCTGTGCTTCACGCACACCACACTTTACTGTGCAGGAGGGCCTGTATTTTAAGTACTCTAAAGGTCGAAGTATTGAATCTGTTGGAGAAGTGAATCCCCGGTACATCTTATTCATACTCTTATTTACTTTAAACAGTTCGTGTGTTTACAAACGGGTTTCATAATGATGTCCTAGAAACCGCACACCTGGATGCTCTCTATGGGTCAGATTGTTGCAGAGCACCTTCCAAAGAAACAGTCACTTTCTGACACTCTAATTGAGGTGTGTTATGTAGGAAGCAGGTGATGTTAATTCTGCGAAGAAAACAGTCTGCAAACTAGCAAGTGTGTCTTAATTTTTGTCAGTGTTTCAAGCATAGAAAAGAATTCTTGCTCCTTGAGACATTTACTCATTTGAAAATTGAAATGCAAAGTACATTATGAAATTCAAAGTACGTTATCCCGGGCTTCCCTGGTGGCGCATTGGTTGAGAGTCCGCCTGCCGAGGCAGGGGACACGGGTTCGTGCCCCGGTCCGGGAAGATCCCACATGCCTCGGAGCGGCTGGGCCCGTGAGCCATGGCCGCTGAGCCTGCGCGTCCGGAGCCTGTGCTCCGCAACGGGAGAGGCCACAACAGTGAAAGGCCCACGTACCGCAAAAAAAAAAGAAAAAAAAAGTACGTTATCCCGTGTTTAAAAAATAAAGCCGCAGGGAGTTCTTGCTTTGTCAGCACATATACTAAAATTGGAACAATACAGAGAAGACGAGCATAGTACTAGCAATCCAAATACAACAGCCCATTAAAAAGATTATGTACCATGACCAAGTGGGATTTTTTGTTTTATAAATTTATTTATTTTTGTCTGCGTTCGGTCTTCATTGCTGCGTGCGGGCTTCTCATTGCCGTGGTTTCTTTTGTTGTGGTTCACGGGCCCTAAGTGCGTAGGCTTCTGTAGTTGTGGCAGGCAGGCTCAGTAGTTGTGGCTCACGGGCTCTAGGGCGCAGGCTCAGTAGCTGTGGCGCACGGGCTTAGTTGCTCCGCGGCATGTGGGATCTTCCCGGACTAGGGCTACAAACCTGTGTCCCTTGCATTGGCAGGCAGATTCTTAACTGCGCCACCAGGGAAGCCCCGACCAAGTGGGATTTATTTCTGGAATATGGGAATGGTTCAACAAATGAAAAAACAGTGTAATACACCTCAATAACAGAATGAAGGACAAAAACGACCTGGTCATCTCAGTGATGCTAACAAAACATTTGGGAGGTCTGAGGTCTTCTGCCAGCGTTCAGTAGGTGTTCTGTAGGAGTTGTTCCCCATGTAGATGTATTTCTGATGTATCTGTGGGGAGGAAGGTGATCTCCGCGTCTGACTCTTCCGCCATCTTGAAGCTCCTCCGAGATTTCTTTTTAATTCATCCTTTCATTCAGGCTTAGCCCTTGAAGGGTCCTGGCTTCATGCAGAGTTTAAATTACAACTCCCTGCCTTACCGGGGCCTAAGCCTTCCTCTCTAGTCTTAAAATCCAGACCTCTTGGTTACTGAGGTAGCACCAGCATAACCATAATCTTTTTTCCTCGTTTTCAGTTCCCTCTTTATTTGTGCTCCTTGGGAGTTACCCTTACCCTCTTGCAAAGTTAGCTCCGAATCTGAAAAAGTGTATGTTAGATTTTATCTAATATATCTAGGTGTTTTGAAGCACACACATTTTCGCATTATCTAGTTTGTGATATTGCTATAGAAATTCCCATACTTTTAGCTCCCTCCAGCCTGATGCTTTCTCTTTCCATTCGTTCCCCCTGGAATTCTTCTTCCATGGCAGATTAAAATTCCCTGCCATTCCCAAATTGTTGAGCATAGTTCCTTCACGTCTTTGCTTTAACCATAACTTGGCTGTTCCCCCAAAGATACTGCCACCCCTACAGCCAGCTTGAAATTGCTTTTATTTCACCTAGTCTAGAAATCTAACTTACTGTCCTTTCAGGATTTCTAGTCTCTCAGAGTCATGCAATAACCATCCTTTAAAATATAGGCTATAACACAACATTTTAAACCAACTATACTCCAATAAAAATTTTAAAAGTAAATAAAGTATAAGCTATATTACTTTATACCCTTTCTGTACACTCTCCTTTATTTACTTAGGGCCTTGACATATGGGAAATTTCAGTATTTCTTTGGATAACCCAACCAACACCTATAACGGCCTCCTGCCTATCTCGAACTTGAGGAGCTATATATAAATCTTACTGCATTATGGCCACCCACTCCCACAGACACACCTTGTTCTTTTTTTTAATAATAAATTTATTTATTTATTTATTTTTGGCTGCATTGGGTCTTCGTTGCTGCGTGCAGGCTTTCTCTAGTTGTGGAGAGCGGGGGCTACCCTTTGTTGTGGTGCATGGGCTTCTCATTGCAGCGGCTTCTCTTGTTGCAGAGCACAGGCTCTAGGTGCATGGGCTTCAGTAGTTGTGGCTCAAGGGCTCTAGAGCACAGTCTCAGTAGTTGTGGCACACCGGCTTAGTTGCTCCGCGGCATGTGGGATCTTCCCGGACCAGGGCTCGAACTCATGTCCCCTGCACTGGCAGGCGGATTCTTAACCACTGCGCCACCAGGGAAGTCCCTACTCCTTGTTCTTTATCATGATCTTGAACTAGACTATTTTAGGAATCTTAAATCCTGATGTATAATTAACTCACTACAATCTTCTTCCCCTCCAACTGAATCACAATTTACACCTAGACATTATTCAACCCTCTGATCTCTCCACACTTTCCTCCTAAGTCCGTCAACTCCCCTGTATTGTTACTCTTCTCTTTCTTTCCAACATATACCCCATGGTGCAATACATACCCACATTCTTGCCAGCCACTTGAACTTAGCTTCCTTATCTTTGTGTAGCATCTACTGTGGAAAGTCTCTACCTGAGATTAATCTAACCCTGAACTCTCCATTTCTATACCTAAAAAAAGGAAGAAAGAAAGAAAAAAGGTAAATTGGTGCTATTGGTGCATGGTGTCCAGCCTCACTGAAAATCCTTTTACAAATACTGGACCAGTGCCGCCTTAGAAGCCTTGAGTTGAAGTTGGCAGAGCACATAATGGAAGGAGCCCAAGTACCTGCATTACTGCTTAGAGAAGAGCCATTTACTGAACATGTTGGGCTTTATCTGTGCAAGAAAGAAACTTCAGTTGTGTTTGAGCCATCAAACATTTGGGGATTTGTTATAGCAGCTTCCATTGCCTTAACTAATGCAATGAGATACCATTTTGAAATTTTAATTTTCATCAGTAATAAGAGAAAATTTTATTTAGGAGCAGTAATGTAAAATTTAATCCCTCTGTTTTAAAATACATCATCAATGATACAATTAAAAATAGCACATGCTTTGGAGGCATTTCTCCAAAAAAGATACTCAGTGGCCAATAAGCTCACGAAAAGATGTTTGACGTTGTTGATCGTTAAGGAAATGCAAGTCAAATCCACAATGAGATATCACTGCACACCCGCTAAGATGGCTATGATAAACAGACAAATGGTAAAATAACAAGTGTTGGCAAGGCTGTGGATAATTAGGGACTCTCACATGCAGCTTGTGGGACTGTAAAACGGTACAGCTGCTGTGGAAAACAGTCTGTTGATTCCTCAAAAAGAGAAACAGAATTGTTAGCAATTCTACTTCTACACTTATATCCAAAATAATTGAAAATAGGAGTCCAAACAAAAACTTGCTCATGAATATTCTTGGCAGCACTGTTTACAATAGCCATAAGGTGGAAACAACCCAAGTGTCCATTAATGGATGACCAGAGAAACAAATTATGATGTATACACAAAATGGGATGTTATTTAGCCATAAAAATGGATGAAGTGTTGATACTGCTACAACTTGGATGAACCTTGAAAATATTATACTAAGTGAAAGAAGCCAGACACAGAAGGTCACATATTGTGTGATTCCTTCTGTATGGAATATCGAGAATAGGCAAATCCATAGCGATAGAAAGCAGATTGTCAGGGGCTGGCGATAGGAGGCTAGCGAGTGATTACTTAATGGCTATGGGGTCTTCTTCTAGAGCGATGAAAAAGTTTTGAAACTAAAAAGAGGTGGTTGTACAACATCATGAATACACTAAATTTCGCTGAAATACACAGTTTAAAATGGTTAATTGTATGTTGTGTGAATTTCACCTCAGAAAACAGAAAACTACCATGAAACTAAAAAGGAAAAAAAAAAAGTTAACCCCCCGGTATTCCTCGTGACCAGAGATGAACACTGTTACCACTTTGTTGTGCTGAATTTCCTTCCAGACTTTTTTTAATGTGTACTAAATGCACTGATTTGTAAAACACATTATTTTATTTAATAGACCATCCATCTTCAAGATTTAAAACATAGCACACAATGGTGATGGAAATTGTCTGTATCTTGACTGTATCAGTGTTAATATCCTGGTTGCGATATTGTATTATATGTCTGCAAAATGTTATCTTTGGGGGTGGGAGCACTAAAATCAGTTTCATTAGAAAATATAAAATATGAAACATATTGGAAAATAACATTTTTCCATATTTTAAAATTTAATTTTTTGAATAGGTGATACAGTCACAAGGTTCAGAAAATTTTAAGTAAAGAGTCATAATAACTTTCGTCCTTATTTATCATCTCTGCAATCCACCCTGCCTTATCCCCTATGGGGTCACTGTTTTTAGTGTCCCGTGTATCCTTCCACACTTTCTCTAGGCGTATACAAGTAAATTGTAATACAGATTTATATTCCCCATTAGTACAAAAGATAGCATAAAATCACAGTTTTGTACTTTTCTTTTTTCTTTCACAGTGTATGTATATTGGGGAATTGGGGAGCTTTCCATATATGAACACAGAGAAATACCTCTCTCTGTCTCTCTGTCTCTCTCCACCTCTCTCTCTCTCTCTCTCTCTCTCTCTCTCTCTCTCTCTCTCTCTC